AGAGAGAGAGGGGGGGGGCGGGGGACAGCGCGCAGCAAGTTTTAAGGTGGAATTATTATTCACGTATTTATTTTTAGGTGAGGTAAAATATTATTAGTATTATAATTTTTTAACATGGAAAGACAGCCACCGGTCCCACAGTTTGTATACATATAGTATAATGTAAATATATATTCAGCAGAGGGAGCAAAAGTACCTGACTCTGAAGTACCTCTGACTATTGCAAATAGGTAAAGTAGAAGTACCGATTAAAAGTAAAAAAAAAAATATAGACTGACATCCACTTAGGTAAAAACAAAACATTGACGACGTGTGGAGTTACCGGTACCCGTACTTAAAAGACAGTAAATTTACAATGAAGCTCTGCTGAATCCGTGTTCAAGAGGGTTAGGCGGTGTTGGAAAATAATGACAGCCACTCACAATTTGACATTTGGGATACAATTAGGAAATTTTCACGTCGGGCTGTACTGTTCCCCACTTTTGTTGCCAGTGGTTTAGTCATGACTGGCTGTGTTTTGAGGTATTTCAGTGTGACAGTAAATTTACACTGGTTACATGCTGACGCTCAGGGGAACCCTATGATGGCTAAGTGGGTTAAGGCAGGGCTGGAAAATTCATGTTGGTCACTTCAGGCACAATTTGGAAATTTTTACCTCTGTGCGAAATCACTTTTGCTGCCAGCAGGTTAGACATTAATGTCTGTGTGTTGAGTTATTTTGAGGGGACAGTAAATTTACATTGAACTAGAGTGTTGAAGCAGTGTTGCAAAATAATGTTGGCCATACACATCATTGACACTTACCAAATACTTTTGGCAGTTTCGCTTAGGAGTGTCCTTGCTTCTGTTATTTTGACAGGACAGTAAATTTACTCTATCAAACCAATTGAACACTGAAGAGGATACATTGTAGCACGGTGTACACTAGTAATTAAATATTAACAAAAATGTGAGGGGTGGAATCACTTTTGTGAAATACCGTACATATTCTTTAATATGATGAGCTTTTTCAACGAGTGAAATGGTTAAAATAAAATAAAGTGTTGCCTAAGGACATTTATTCAACTTGAATACAAGGAGGTCGACCTTAAATAACATCCCACCCGTCTATTGGCTAGTAAGACCATCAATCGAAGCGTTAGGCCCGCCTTTCACCCCGCCCCTGGCTTGGACCAAGCTCGGTTGAGTTATCTGGTAAGGAGGACCAGTGTAGTGCGGTTGGCGTGCGAGAGGGTCGCGATGAACCGACAGATGAAATAGAGTGGCGAGGGAAAAAAAACAACCCAAAAATAAGCAAGTAAGCTGACTGTTCTTCCGCGAGAAACAATGTTCCCCAAAGGCAAAGGAACCCCGGTGCCCTCGGACGTCCAAGCACGAGAAAAGTAAGGCGAGAAACAGTGACGAATGTGCTGTTTTTTTTTCCTCCTCTCGCAACTTGCCTGTTGTTCGCTGGACAGGCTAGCAAAAGGCGATTTCCTGCTTGCGAGAAAGGAATTGAATGAACCGCCTTGTCTACTATCGTCGTCTTTCCTTTTTTTCAATTTAGTTTACATTTATTTGTAATTTTGCAACCACCAAATGCGCGTGTAAATAGCGACTCGAATAACGAGCAGTAGTGTGACATTTTGGCTCGAATCGAGAGGTAGAAAACAATAACATCGCCTGGTTGCACACTACATTGGTTTGTGTGTGGAGCTGTTTGCAAGCTAACCTGGCTTTGGATCATTTGCCTTCTTGCCAAGGCTTTCTTGTATACGCTTTGTGTGTTTTCTGCACCATATGCTGTTGCTTTCTACCCCCACACACTTTGTGGTTGAGATCCTGCAAGTGTTTGTGCCACAGCCTGCTTGGCAGCCATTGTTCAAAAGGCCTGCACTAGTATGGGAAGACGTTTGAGCATTTATTCGGTGCTCTTGTTTTCCAGCCATGTACTAGTGCACTCTGTGTCTTCACTAGTACGGCATTTCTGGCGCACTAATATAACTACCAGGGCAAACTAGAAGAACGGTTGTATCTTGCCTACAACATGCTTTTTTTTTTTAACCCCGGTACTAGTGCCACTTTTGGTTGACTAGTATGTATTGAAATCTTATTAGTGACCTACTCTGCTGCTCTAACAACACGACTAGGCATTTCTCGTAGGCATGCGTCACGCTGGTAACCTCCTGGACCCTGCAAGGAGCACAAAAAGGCTTCACGTAAAGCCGGTTGGGCATTTAGTCAATTCAATTTTCATGTACTAGTTCACTCTTTGTCCTCACTAGTAAAACAGTGCAGTGCACGAGTACTCATGTGCAGTAGTGTAATAGTGTAAATGGAATGACTGTCTTACCACTGTTTTTCTGCCACTACTTAGGGCCTCAATTGGCTTACTAGGACACAGTTAAAGCTTACCGAGTAGAAGAAAAATAGTAAACTACTGTTCTGGATTAGTAATGCTACTCCGACAAGGCAGATGTCATGCTAGTAGCCTCCAAATTAAGGATATTGAATTTTTATATTCTGGATACTTAGCCTGAGGTCCATGTACTAGTATTCTCTGTCCTTACTAGTGAAACAATCAACACATCAGCAGGGGCAGTTTCTTCCAATACTAGTACCACTTTTGACAATACTTGCGGTGATGTTTCTTTCTTAAATGTGGACACAAGAAATGCACAACATTAAAAAAAAAAACAACCAAAAAAAAAAGGCATTTTTGGAAAAAACACCTTGGCATAACATAGCATCTTAGCAAGTAGAGTACTGTTTAAACCTTTTCGGGGGCCGTCAATCACATCCATATTTTTGTTGTTTCATGTCTGGTGTAAGGTTCTAGTAGTGGCAAAAAGTGGCACATTATAACTAATACTCCAGCTACTTAAGTTATTTTACGAGTGCCCTGAATTGCCTTACAAGTGAGGACAAAGTGGGTTCCAGTGCATGGCCCTTAAGATGGATATCAAATAAACAGCTTAACATAGTGCACTTGCTACTTTCTCTGCTCTATTTGCTTTTCTGTGTTCATTGAGAGCTTGAATTAAAATCGTCATTTGTTTTCCACAGGTTGGCTCTCTACGTCTATGAATATTTGCTTCACATAGGAGCACAAAAGTCTGCACAGACCTTTTTGTCAGAGGTGCGTGCGCCCTTTGTGGATATTCTCACTTTTGCTGTCTTTAGGATAGTTCCCCAGTCCTGTTTTTCCCCCCCAAACTTGGCTGAGCCAAAACATATTTCCGTTTGGTCTTGTGCCGTGACTTTTTTTTTCTCTCGTGTAAAATATGTTTTGGCTCAGCCAAGTTTGGGGGGAAAAACAGGACTGAGCCAAAACATATTTTACACGAGAGAAAAAAAAAGTCACGGCACAAGACCAAACGGAAATATGTTTTGGCTCAGCCAAGTTTGGGGGGAAAAACAGGACTGAGCCAAAACATATTTTACACGAGAGAAAAAAAAAGTCACGGCACAAGACCAAACGGAAATATGTTTTGGCTCAGCCAAGTTTGGGGGGAAAAACAGGACTGAGCCAAAACATATTTTACACGAGAGAAAAAAAAAGTCACGGCACAAGACCAAACGGAAATATGTTTTGGCTCAGCCAAGTTTGGGGGGAAAAACAGGACTGAGCCAAAACATATTTTACACGAGAGAAAAAAAAAGTCACGGCACAAGACCAAACGGAAATATGTTTTGGCTCAGCCAAGTTTGGGGGGAAAAACAGGACTGAGCCAAAACATATTTTACACGAGAGAAAAAAAAAGTCACGGCACAAGACCAAACGGAAATATCACAAGAACTGGATACACAGGTTAATTGCCATCGAGTGGAAGAGCACTTACCAGTTCTGCCTGTCAGTAAACATCACTGGCATTGACAGAACAAAAATACATTGTTTTCATCAATTTGCCCCCCACCCCCAGACTCAAGTTCCATTTTACTTTTTCCCAGGGATGTTCGATAACACTTTTTTCAGACCGATATGTACAGTATAGCGGTAACTATTGTGGAGGAGGATTTAATGTCAAATTTAATTATCTGTGACTGGTATCGGCACCCTCCGTGATTCAACGATCCCTTTCAAATAAGACTAGTATGTGCCTGATACCGATACCTGGTATGGGTACTGGTCCATCCCTACATTTTCCCATGCCACACTGGTTTGGAATCACAGCCCTACTCCTGAATCAGTACATATTATAAATAAAGATTTTATGTCACGGACTAAAACTCTGCAATCAAATCAAAAATAGTTTTTGGGGGAAAATGGCTAATTCACTATAAAGGGTACTAGATAGTGGCGAGCAAGTGATTCCTAACACAGAATCTCTCTCTCTCTTTTTTTTTTTTTTAATCATTGAATATAAAGTGTGTTAAAATTTGCAAAACTTCTTCCTTAGATACGATGGGAGAAGAACATAACACTCGGAGAACCCCCAGGATTCCTGCATTCCTGGTGGTGGTAAGCAATGGTGATCTCGTCTCCCCCGTGTAAACACGTCCGGGGCTTGTTTACGCGCTGGTGTTTGTCTCACGCCACCACGTGTCCTCCACAGTGTATTCTGGGACTTGTACTGCGCTGCGCCGGAGAGGAGAGAGACATGTGACCACTCCAGTGAAGCCAAAGCCTTCCACGACTATGTGAGTAGGCCCTTACCAAACGCAATGCCGCCCGAGGTAAAAAAAATGAGACACAGATAGATAAAACGTCGCCGGTGTCCGGCAGAATCCTGCCGTGTCACTTTTCAGGGGGAAAAAAAAATTGGCATGTTTGTCGAGCCGTTACATAGCACTTTTCATTGGTCAATATTTTAAAAAATAATACACCCACGCAGAGCTGAACAATAATATCCATTTGTTTAAAAAAAACAAAACAAAACAGGAAATTGACCAAATTTGGATATAGCTTTATGCCTGACTGCAGTGATGTGATGGCGTCGTGGGGGGGGATACGTTCCAGGTAGGAAGGTAGGTGAAATTCTGTAATATCGGGAGCTTCTAAGCATATTTTTATCCCTCCCATGCTTTAAAATTGGAGTGAACAATTTTGAAAAAAAAAATTTTTTTTAATTCTCAATTTGTGATTTAATGTGTGATATTTTTCCTCTTCTTATGTAACCTTTTCACTAGCACAAGCAATAAATGAAACTCCATGACAATAAATCATGTCAGATTTATTATACATAAATGTTTTGGTCTTACAGGTTAGTCTGACACTAAAATAAACCCACACCAACCATGAATTCATACGAAGGATTGGATTGGAGTTCATAACTTCTCCTAAATCTGGCGTGAACCGAAATCTGTCAATCATAAGTCAGAGTACAACAATAATGCAAGCAATTTTCTGCACTGCCCATTTGAAATCATGTGTTGAATGGAGGTAAGAAAAAAAATATTTGATTATTTGAAGGAAAAAAAGATTTTTTAACCCAAAGCCACAATTATTCCATGATGTTTAATTTGTAAATTGGAATGTATTGTCTTTGCGCTGTTTGTACCTCAATGCTTTTGAACGGTTATCTTGCCCCGTTGGTGACGCACCCAAAGGAGGAGCTGATTTGGTTTCTGGGAAAAACGATGCTGATGTCAGCGTGGCTCGAGTTCAGACATGTCGCTACACGTTGAGGCATATTCACCCGCTATAGAATGATCTCGATTGATTCGCGGCAAGAGGAGATCCCGATTAGATCCACACAACGTGTGAAGCGTGACACTTTTGTAACGGTGCATCCTGTTTATGATGATGATGCGTTTTGAAAGGTTTTATCTGGGACGGTCATATTCTTTTTTTTTTTCCACGAGCTACTGTCAATTAGAAGACTTCACGGCATCAGCAGAAAAGGACGATCACCCGCCAGTGCTCGGGGCCTTGGAGCGGGGGGGGTTGACTCATCAGACAGGAAGGGGGGGGGTGGCTAGTTAAAATGGCGACGTGGGTTTGTCTCTTAGCAGATAGTTGTCACGGTAACAGGCCTCCTGGTCTCGCTGGTGACCTAGGAGCTCGTGGAGCGTCTGCGGCGGCACGCTGCCCTTTACAAAACGACACGCCTTGCTATCGCTCGCCGAGCGTTTTCGCTTGAAACAGACTTTCTTCCACATTCGCTTTGTGTCCCGTGGTTTTGAAACCGAGCGCGGAGCACAGTTGGTATCCCGACTTCCGAGTGCCCCCCAAGCCAGTGCTTGCTCCATTTCTTGATCAGTTTGTTTTCTGTTGCAAGCCAAAAGGACTGCAACGAATGATGAGTTGAATGATCGAGAAATCTGTTTAAAAAAAAAAAAAAAGTTTTTCTGATTGATCGATGAATCCGATTTAAAACAAAATGAACATTTCAGTTATCTTTTTTTTTTTGACCGTACAAAGAAATGCACAAATTGTGATACGGTTATGCAATTTGTATGAAAATAATAAAGATTAACATTTTTTCCTTTTTTTAAAAAACTAATTCAGATGTTTACAAGATTTCTTATTTCGATTTAACTCAAAGGTAATAATACTACGGTTCTTTCATGGATGACTACAAAAATCTGCAGCAGGAAAAGAAAATCTTTGATGGTTTTAGGAGTGACTTACAACTGTTTTCGTGACACCACAATCCCGGTTGAAAATAACCTTTCTAGTGCAACGACTATCACGGAAAAAAAAATCTGTTTAGAATCGGAAGTGGGGGTGAAGGTGTCCGCCTCTAACTTTCATGCAGAGGAAAAATTCTGATATCTTTGGGAGAGTGAGATCAGGGTGCTTGGAGACTTTGTGTGTTTCATTCCCCGACATCTTGAGGTTGCCTTTCGCACTGATGTTGTGCATTTGTAGATGTCATGGGGGTGAGGGGGGGTCAGGCTATCGTATGTGTGGACAGTACTAGTGCTTGGAGCGTAGCCATTGTCTCGGTGTGGGGGAGGTGCGTTTGCGCGCGTTGCTTCGTTGGCCGCCGGTGCTCGTAAAGCCCCTGGTGTATTCACGCCAGCGATGCTGAATGTTCCCCGAGGGGCCCCGTCGCCATGGCGTCGGCGGCTGATTGATGGCTGTCACGGGAGGCGAGGGCCAGATTGGTGAAAGAAAAAAAAGGGGGAGTGGCACCGTGGCATATGCCCAGCATCCACCAGGAGGACCTGACACGAGGCGAGAGGGGGGTGGCGGCAGGACCCGAGCGTCCAGTCGGGATCCGGGATTAGCTTTTTACGATGTTGAGTAATGGTTAAACATTTACAAACTAAACACGGGGCCTTTTTTTTCCTTTGCACTGTTGTTTCTAATGGAAGAAGAGGGGCTGTTAAGACCTGGCTTGGTCCAGAGTCTGCAATTGGGTGGTCTCCCTTAACATTTCTTGCTCATCCCATTTATTTGAGTCAAAGGACTCTGCTCAGAATCCAATATAGCATTCCCCAAAAATGAGAGATGCGGCACTTATTGGTAAACTTGACATTTTGCAAGTCCACCGAACATAAAGCTAACATACGATGCAAAATGTCATCACAAAAAGCTACTATGGAGGTGGCGTTAGAACACTTTGAGCAACTGATAGTTGAACACAAACAGTGCAGCAATACATGTAGACGGACAATATAACAATACTCACAGGCATATATTCTTTATCCTCTGCGGTGGGCATCTGAAGTATCTCAAGGCAGTGCTGGATAAGTGCCCTGAATGTATCCTGCTATGAATCTTGGAAGATGCGGAACACTATCTTGAACAATCGATGGTCACTAGAAAAGGAATATATCCCATTTCAGAGAAATAATTTTTCATCTTCAGGGTATTTTGAGTTTTGGCACAAAAAGAGAGTAGAAGGGATGCAGAGTTGTGACGTGAAAATGTCTTAACGCGGATGGCCCAGGGGATTTCCTTGTATTCATTTTGTCAAATACACCTCAGCTCAAAACGTTTTTCAAATGTGTGCCTTTTGTTCCATATTTATTGTGTCAGACTAACTTGAAGTGATCCGGTACACCGTAATTATGCGTCAGCATCAATTATGTAATTAACAGTGCCCGAGTAGTTTTCTCAAACAATTTTTAAATGCTTTTTCGTGTACGTTGGTTTTTGACGTTGTCTAGCCCGCTCCAGTGATTCAAGGGGCGTGAGGTCATTTAGGCCAGCAGGCTTTTGAAGTGTGCACATGCACAAGCTAAATCGCGCCTACTGAGGAGGGGGGAGAGTCTGTCTTCAAGAGGTCCCCTAGGAAGCTGTCAGGAAGGCTTCGGATAAGAGCTCATAGCCCCCCTGGCAGGTCCGAGACATCTGCCCCCCTCCGTCCCCTGTTCCACAGCGTCGACTCCAAGACGGGGTTCATTTAGAGCGCCACTGGGTTCTTTTCATTAAGCCCCCTAACATATCTGTCAACGTTAGCGGGACATATTAGGACCTGAGAAGGCAGTCTGTCTTCGGTTTGGGGTCAAATTTTATGGTTGAGCTGTTTTCGAAGGGTTCGTTTTGCAGGCAGTGCATCTGTCAAGAGTTAGTCGAGTCACCAGTGGTGACAAAAATGATGACAAAAACCTTGAGATATATATATATATATATATATATATATATAGATATATTTTAACCCAAGAAGCCTCGTTTGCTTTCAAAAGTGATTTTTACTGGACCATAAGTGGACTGAAATCGAATGCCTTTTCAGGTTGTTCAGCCGAAATGTTGCGCAAGCGATTTGCTTCTGTTCGATGTAAAAATTCCCGGCAGGAATCAAAGGTTATGATGCCACCCGAATCAACTCCATCTCTGCTGGGAAGACGTTCTACAACATATTGGTGTGTGTGTGTGTGTGTTTGTCAGAATATTTCTTACCCATTCATCCAGAAGGAGTCATTTATGAGGCCTCACAATCTCTGTTGTAGTTCAACGCAGTTGTTTGTTTTGGGGTTTTTTTCCACATCAAATTTTGGCCAAGCAGAAGAGATGGAGACCTTAGCCACAAAGTTGGAGCCATTCAAGCCTCTTTCTTCAAATCATGTCAATGTCTTATATTTTTGTCCCCCCCCCAAGACCCCTTCACTATCCTATAACGCCAATGTGTAAAGACTTACCAAAATGCGTGTTTGTTTGCACATCATTGAGGTGCTGAGGTCTTGACTTCTTTCTGGCCTCACTTCTCTCCCGGCCGAGGTATTTCACAGTGGCCCTGCAGTGGCAGCCTGCTCAGATATAATTAGGGGGAGGGGGGGGGTGCAGTCGATACAGGCAGCGTGTTGGCTGTTGACCAGTAATGTCTTTAGTGCTGGAGGGCTCCTGACAGTGTTTGCATATTTGAGCGGGGCTGATCGTACATCCATCCTTCCATTCGCCGTCGTAATCGCTCCCGGTCGGCGTCCCATCCGGGCCACCAAAACGGAGCCGAAAGGGGCTTTTTCTTCCTCCTGTTGCGGCGCTCCTCTTTGGAAGCCAAACAAACACCGCCGCTTGAGAAGACATTAGCGCATCTCATGTTGCCTTCGCGACGAGGAAGCAAAACCCAGGCAATTAGGACTGTGTGACCAAAGCAAATGGCACATTAGCGAATTAGGCCTGCGGTTTGTGCAGGAAATCGGTCCGGGTATGCCACTGCTGTGTTGCAGCACTTTGGAGCCACTGACTCACCAAGTCCCTCCTGATGCTTATCTCATTCACTACATCCTGGATCAGCGGGGGCTCGGGATTCGCCTCATGGAACCCACGTCAATGTTTTTACCGTTTGTACTGCCGCCAAGTACAGTGAATCCCCACGATCCCCCCCCCCCCCCCACTTCACAACTGTAGGAAACGAACTTGTACTTTGAATGTGACGAGGGCCTACCGACTTGTCATTTTGTGGTCTTCCGTTCCCCAGAGTGCAGCGGCGGCCCCCAGCCCTGTCATGGGAGGGATGCCCCCGGGTGATGGCATGCCAGGAGGACCCATGCCGCCTGGATTTTTCCAGGTCAGTCCGTCACTCGCCTCACTGGAAGCAGGAGTTCAAATGCATGTTTGGTTGTTTTAAAACAAAACAAAAGAAAAAAATACTTTTTACATTCAACGTTACGTTCACAGTTCAAAACGCCTCCCCGCTGACGTGCATTGCTCTCGCCGAACGCATGGCTGCCGACAGAAATAAACCGACCATTTACGCTGTCTGCACGTCGTTAAGAGCGATGATCTTAAAGCGAACAAGGCGATCCAGTTTTGTGTCTCTCCGGTTGGATTACGTTTTTTTTTTTATTGTTTACGGGTGTGCTTGCTCACAGTGTCCAAATGTTTTTCACGGAATTAGCATGAACACATATTGAGTCATCTTAAATGTGCTCTCTTGTTCATTAAGTTAAGAGCTGTTTTGGCTCCCTTTTTTTTTTTTTTTAAACCCTTCTTGCATCCGAGGAACATCTGATGACTTTGTTTCCAAGCTTTTTTTTTTTTTTTGACATGACTGTGTCACTATAGGGCGATATTGCTTTTTAAAATATTTAGTATTGTTATGTCTGTTCCTTAAATTAACCTTAAAAAGATGGAACTTTTTTTTTTTTGGTATATTTGCTCCTAGTTCAATGAAAGCTTACTTTTACCAATGTAGCAATTTTATATTTAGCCACTTTCAGACCCTTCTAGTGACTACTCCACAAAAGCGACTAATAATCTTAATTTCTGCAAGGAAAAATTAGCTGAATCATGATGACTTTGGTTTCCTTACTAAAAGAGGTGATCCCAGTTGGAGGCAATTGGAATGGATAGACACTATAGCTGGTTGTACTATTATTATTATTATTTTTGGTGCATTTTGTATACCTTCCAATCAAATGTGAGTCAACACACGCTATCATACTGTATTACAGTGAAAGCTGTGGTTACCATATGATCAAAATCCTCTATTGTCCGAACCAAATCATGAACGCAGCTCTTATTTTGCATCTCATCTCAGAGCACAGAAGTGCTCCTGCTTGCCGCCGTCCTTGACGCTGCTTAGTCAACTTGTCGTAAGCGTCATAGGCGCTTAGTATGCACGGGCCCGTCCGCTGCTGTAAACAGGCAGGCGTGGCCTGGACGTTTTCCCCCTAATGGAGAAATGGAAGTATGCCGCGCCTACTCTGGAATCGATATCTCATGGAGCTCGACGCGTTGGATAACTGTGTGGAATGAAGCCGTGATATTAACTCTTAAGAAGTCTTCAAATATAGTCCATTGTCCCCATTAAAAAAAAAAAAAATTGTCATTTTACCTAAACAATTTTTTTTAATAGTAAGTGAAATCAATTAAAGTTTTCACCTTTCAGGACATAATGAAAATTAAAAAAAAAAAAAAAAACAATAAACGATGACCATCAAAGTACTCAGGAACATTAAACTGACAAAGAGCTAAGCCACTACTGTAAATATGATATTAGAGAGCACAGTCAAGTGATTCAAGACAGTAAGATGCTACTCATCTCCAAATTGTTGGTGTACTTCACTCAATGTGATTCGCTCAGTCCATAGAGCGATTTTAGGGTCCTGCGGCAGGCTGCGCCCGCTTACTACAATATTTTGGCAGTTCATCCCCTGGCGGTTGGCCGACGACTGTTTGCGAAAGTTCACGATTGCAACACCTCAATTTTAATTGTACGTAATCACTGACGATCATGTTGATTTAATTATTATTATTATTATTTATTTTTTTTTTTTACAAAAGCAGAATGGCACAAAATGTCTTTTGAAGGGTTAATTACATAACTGCACAACCCCGGCTGTGAAGATGACTCAATATGTGTTCATGCTAATTCCGGGAACAAACATTTTGACACTGATGTGAGCACGCACACGTGTAGACACAAACCGGAATCCGTCGGAAGAGTCTCAAAATGGGTTTGCTCCGTTCTCGTTCAGATCAGCAGCATTGTCTTTCCCGCGGTGTATATGTGAGCGTTAAGTGTTGGAAGGCTAATTGTACGGAGCGGCTAATTGATGCCGTTATTTTTGGTGAGGGAGAAGGGCAGGATGGGTGGGGGGGAGGGGGGATTAGCGTTGATAACATGCTGCATACAGCAAGGTTCCTCCGCTCCTTGATTGACAGGCGAGAGCGCCCACATCCTCTTCTCACATGCTTGCTCCTCTCTGCTTAGTTTCCCTGACTGTGTTTGGAACATGATGGCAGGCTTATTTCATCATTGCATTTTTTTTTTTTTTTTTGCATCTCTCGCTCTCTAACTGTCCTCTTGCCCTGCAGTAACCCCGCTTCTCTTTTTCTGTCTTGGCCCCTCTTTCTCTCCTCACCCACCCCCCCTTCCTCCATTTTGCCGTCATTTTTGTGCAATGCCGCAGGGTCCTCCCGGTCCCCAGGGCTCTCCTCACCCTCAGCCTCCTCCCCCTAACAATATGATGGGACCCCACAGTCAGGTAACGCTCCCTTTCCCTCTTTGGCCCTCCTTGTTCTCTATTTTGCTGTCCGCAGTCATTTTGGGGTTGCCGGCTCGAAGCGCTCGCCGCTTCACGCTTTGCTCTTTTGTCTCAGCGCCGATGGCTTGACAGCGCTGGCACAGTGGGAACGAAGGAAGCAAGCGCATTGGGTTTGAATCGAAATCTGACGCAAATGTCTTGTCTGTGTCGCAGTCCTTCATGTCACCTCGCTTTGCCGGCGGCCCGAGAGGTCCCCCCATCAGGATGGCAAACCAGGTAGATGTCAAACGCACAAACGGAAAAGAAGAATAAACAAAACATTCAGTTCAGCCTGAGGCGACGCAGATTATGACGAGTTACAAATATTCATGAATTCAGGGAAATTTTCTGTTTGTGTTGTACCACTTGGGAACAAACAACAGCTCAAAGCAACTTGAAACTTTAAATATAAATGGATTGCCATTTTAGAATAAATGAGAGACAATTAAAAAAAATTCACAATTACCAAAGAATTCAAAATTACGAAGTGCTAATTGGATTGTTGAATTTCATTTGTTAATGGTGGTGGTTGGAGGATTTCTGTCATGGTACAGCTGTGCAATATTAAATTAAAAAAAAGGTAGTTGTGAAATCCACACAAAACAAAGTCCAAGATTTTAAAATTTCTTGAATGGGTATTTTGCTTTTTACCATCTTAAAAAAAGGATCCTGTTCAATTCTAGCTCGAACACGGTAGTTCTCAAATTCTTGGCACGAACTGCCACCTGAAAAAAAAAAATACTGACATTCTATCATACTATCATTGTCACATAATGAACAGTTTGGACATCAATACTGCGCCTCAATATTCTCGTGTGAATAATTTGGTGCTTAACTGCAGTACAAATGACAAAGTCGCGTGATGTATTTCTCCCTCACAGCCGCCAGGTGGAGGACCAGGCCCACATCCCATGTTGCCTAATATGGACCCGACACGACCACAAGGTAAGAAACCTTCCCATTTCCTCTCTCATTAATCTCTGTAACTTTGTATTTCCTCGGCTAGTGGCCAGTAGCGTTTGTTTATGCAACTGTAGAGAAGGACAGGAGATTTTTTTTTTGGGGGGGGGGGGTAACGAATTACATGTTACTGAGGGGGAAAAGGAAGCATGCTTTTGGGGGTTTTAAAAATTTCTGGTGTCCTCATATCAACTGTCTTCATCCCACCAGGTCATCCTAACTTGGGGCCCATGCAGAGAATGAGCGGCCCTCGAGGAATGGGGCCCATGGGGCCCGGCCCACAGGTGCAGTAGTTTTTTTGGGGGGTTTGCTAGCACTAAAACAAAATTATTGTCGTCAAAATGGCCACTGGGTCGTTATTGAGAGGCTCTTGGTTTGCATTGTAGGTAAAGGTAGAATCCTGACTGACTATTGCGGCTTTTGTTGCTTTAAATAGTAAGGTGGTGGATGCCTCATGCTAAATTGGCGATATGTCACACGTTAGTTACCATGACGACTGAATCTTTTTTTTTTTTTTTCATTATTCAATTTCTTGTACTTTCTTTTGGCGGTTGACAAATACTTTTGGTGCATTACCGCCACCTTCACTTTAAGGTAAGCCATTTTAAACTAAAAAGAAAAATTTCAGTAACAATACCGTCTTTTCAGAACTTTGGTGGAGGGATGAGGCCCCCGCACAACACCATGGGTCCCGGCATGCCAGGAGTCAACATGTGAGCCTTCAGTTTATCTCTACTTCTCTTCAATCGAGAGTGCTGCAGCCAGGTTTAACACTCCTTTTGCCTTCCAGGGGCCCGGGGACTGGTCGGCCATGGCCCAATCCTAACAATGCTAATTCTGTGAGTACACACAATTACACAAGAGTAAAGACAGGGAGGTGCCGGTTCAAACGGCAGTTCCATTTTTTTTTTGTCCACGCATATCGAACCATAACACACTTCAGATAATGCAGCGATCAATGACGACACTTCGAGGTACACGGCTTGTGCTTGGTCTTTCCATCTATGGTTGGTAATGTTTTTCTTGGTTACAGATGCCTTACTCATCACCGTCTCCTGGCGCGTACGGGGTAAGAAGACATCTTTGCTCTTTTAGCGTAACATTTTTGAAGCCAAATCACACATGTTGAATGACATGACATATTCTCTAAAGGGAGCATCTGGAGGAGGACCACCAGGGACTCCCATCATGCCCAGCCCCGCAGGTGACTACTTCTTACTCACATATCCACATAATCATGTATTGTCCGCTAGCGGTCACGTGACTGTTTATTTGTATTTTTTCAAAACAGACTCCAACAACTCTGGTGACAATTTGTACACCATGATTAACACTGGACCCGGCAATCGAAATAATGTAAGTTATGGTGAGAGTGAAATTGAGGCAGCACAAGTGGTGACACATCTACCTGAGACGTCATTGACTGGCAAGCAGCTGGAATAGGATCAAGTTCACCTGCAATCCAACTAGGGACACGCATGACAGAAAACCGATGGGTCGAAAATTGAAATAGAAATCATTATAAAACCCCATTTTGGCTATAAAGGCAATATTTTAGGTGATACAGTGGAACCTAAAGTTATGAACTTAATTGCTGAGCTTGTTTATAGATCGAGGTAATGTTTCCCATTGAAATGAATAGAAATGCAATTAATCCGTTCTCGCCCACAAATTACCGGTAAATGAACAACTTTAATAAATAACGGCTTATCCGTAAACAGTAAAAATAAACGGTCTTCATTTTTTTTAATTCACTCAACATGTTTCTTGCATTTCTAAGGCTGTTTCTTTGGAAATGTCATGCAAACTAACGCCAAAGCAATGAGAATAAACCTCATGGGCTGCCGCGTTAAGGTTTCACTGTAGCTGCTTTGTTCCGGAGCTCGTTTGCCGGCCTTACAGCGGCGATGTAATCCCACACGTTGCGTTTCCGCTTCAGTTCCCCATGGGCCCCGGCTCTGATGGACCCCTGGGAGCCATGGCTGGGATGGAACCACACCACATGAACGGGTCACTAGGTAACACCGCTTGCACAACACATTAAATATTGCCAGGAGTGGCAAAAGTATTCTGCACTTGAGTAGAAATATAGATCCTAAAATTTTTAAAAAAAGGACTGGCGAAAGTAGGAGAAGAAGGTACTGATCTGTGTTCAACTCAAGTAGTTACCTGAGAAACTACTACTAAAGCACAATAACTATTGTACTGTGTTACTTCCCACGAATTAATTGGCGGGACGATTTAATTAGCTGACATTAGTTAACTCTTTTGGAATCAGCATTTTTTTGTTGTTGGTTTTAAACACATTAACAACATAACACAAAAGGTAATGATGTTCAAACATTCCACCCACCCCAAATATAAATTTCTTACTTACTTCCTCCCACTGCCTATTACTGAACATTTCCCCATTTTAAGATTTTTTTTTTGTTGTTCGTTTAGGCTCTGGTGATTTGGACGGAATGAACAAGGTAAGCGTTGCACCCAGTCGTGTCATCAAACAGTCTCTCTGTCCATCCACACAATGAGTTTCATGTTTTTTTTTTTTTTTGTTCCTAGAATTCTCCAAACAATTTAAGTGGCATTAGCAATCCTCCCGGGACACCGAGGGATGATGGCGAGCTGAGTGGGAACTTCCTCCACTCATTTCAGAGCGAGAACGTAGGTCACAACCTCTTCGGTGCCACTTAGTCAAACTTTTTGTGCTCGAGTTTTGTATTTTGTTTTTTTTTTTTAACATGCACTTTTAATGTCATTTGTGCGCAACCAACAAACGGGTGTAATTCGGTGAAGTCAACAGGCACTTCTAATGTCCGCATTGTGTAGTTTTCATGAGATGTAAATTTCACAGCGATCCATTTGAAAAATTGACACACACGGTGGATCCGGCCGGAAGTTGCACCGATTATCGCCGGTGACGTGCACGTGGCTACAGGCCACATTAAAGCAGAATGTGTTTCTGCATTCACGTTTTTCCCATACAATCCGAGCAGTTTAATCAGAATACCATGATAATGAATGCATAGAATCCTGTGCAAAGGCAATAAGAGTTGATCAGGTTGCCAAGCAACGCATCGCACATACGCAGTCAAATACTCTACAAACACACGAATGAAAATCTGTAACCCGTGGCACCGTTTCTACGATGACTGTAGTTTTTTAGCCGTGCTTTAAAACTCCAAGCCCCCATCACCCCTGTGGAAATGCTCCTCATAGGTGGGAAAAATGTTCGGCTGTCGGTGTAATACACTAGTCAAATTAAATTACACCAAAAGATACTAAAGATTGACTTCATGTCACATTGCACCAAAAAAAAAAAAAAATGTCATTCAACTTTTGACTCATAAAGTAGCCAGCCAACTTCGGCAGATGGAAGAGCAGAGCACACGTATGGATTTTTTTTTTCTATGATGGAAATGAAACATTCCCCATAAAAATTCTTCCCAAGTCTGTAGCAGATGTTCCCATTCGTGTGTGGCCTGTTCAACCCAAACCATCTGGAGAATGCGTCATTTTGTATATTATTTGTCCATGTAGTCATTTCTTTTTATTTGGCAGTTTGCCACTTATCTTAGTTTGTATCATTTCAGTAATTGCTTGACTTTTTTTTTTTTTTTAATGAACAATTTAAGTGTACAAAATGTCTTGACTCGAATCGTTTAAACACCCGAATGTTCAACCAGAACGTAATTTCGTCAAGCGAAATCCTGCTAGCATTTTAATTCCTGGTGCCACTACCTGGAGAATACCGTTTACAGGACAAAATAGAGCTGATTATATATTTGACATGCTTAAGGGATGCCCGTAAACGATTTTCTAACTCCTCTTTCTCTTCTTCTGCAGTACTCACCAACCATGACGATGAGTGTGTGACCCCCCCCCATCCCCTTTCTCTCCCCCCCCCTGCCAGCCCTACCCTTCGTAATTTGCCATCATTCCAAGGATTCGAACCCCCACGCCTCCCTCCGATCAGACACGGCCGAACGCATCAGCAGAAAATCAGGGATCCAAACTTGACGTCGGAAATGCTGAAACGCGGGTGAAACAAAACGGCTCGTGTCTCTCTCACGGGACAAAAGCAGCTCGTGAAACGATCGTTCAACAACAATGGCGAAACGGACCCCCGATATACAAGTACCACCCCACCCTAGAGCGATGGTTTACCTCTTTTTGGAATGAATTTGTGCAGGAAGTGTCTCCCTTGTCCCGCTCGGGTCCACTTCAAACACTGGAGAGTGTACATACATGTACATGTGCATCGTGAGCTTTTCCCAGTTTTATTTTATTTTTATTTTTTTTGCTGCTCGCCATATGTGCCCACCTCGCCACCGCACTCGTTTAGAACACTCACTGATGGACATTTTCAATTACAGTGTTCCCCCGCACACTCAGAAACCTACCTGGGCCCGGTCAATGTCTTTTTTTTTTTTAAAGGCCAGTGCAGATTTCAGTATTGGTCAGAATAAGATTCCCATAGCCAATTAATAATAAAAAAACAACATACATAGCGAATAATAAATTCAATAATAAAGATGTGATTACAGGCAGAACGTTTGACTGCTTTACAGTCCGCTGTCCTTTTAGTATTGAATATCTTAGAGAGAAAAGTCAGCAAAAATCTTTTTTTTAAATGGCAATACATGTCTTATGTGATAATTTGTTGATGTTAAAAAAAAAAAAAAAAAACAATCAGTCAATTTTTGCCAATTTTTTTTTCTTCTTGAGTTGATAGTTGCCATTTTTGTGCTCAGGCCCAAGGCCGTGTCGAATATAAAAAAAATGTTGTGCTTAGGCGCCATTTTGTAGCATCTCGTTGCCAAGGAACCATGTTGAAGGGAAGTGAGGTGAGAGTTCATGTGTCAAGACAAAACCCTGTTGAATATAAATAGTGCTTTGGCGCCACCTCGGTGCTACAAATCAATGTTGAAGGGCGAGTTTCATTCGCCAAGCCAAATAGAAAAATATTGCTTTGCTGCCACCCTGAGGCATCTTCGGGCAATCGTCAGTTGTCGCTGTTTTTTTTTTTGATATCCGTTGGTGGGGGAACACTGTAGTTGGGACTTGAGGGTTTCTTGGATTTTTTTTTTCTTACACCGGCCTGGTCAAAATTTATAATGGAAACCCATGCTCCCTCTCAACTAGTGGGGAAAAAAATGCTGAATATAATTTTTCGTAGATTTTTTTGTTTTGTTTTTGTTCTCTTCTCGATTCGTTTTTTGACCGCTTTTACCTTTTCTGGTAAGTCCATCTGGCGACCACATTTGCACATTTATTCTCTATTCTTGATATCCAGTTTCAGTTTATTTACTTGGATAAATACACTTTTCAGCGCACTAATACAAGAACTGTCTCTGACATTACTGCAAACTACCGGGAAAACTTTGGCATGCGACTGCAGTTCATGTTACTTATGAGCTAAAACCGTGCACTAGTTGACATTTGCGCACAACTCGTGAAGTCGCAGTCATGTGCTCGATCGGGGGGTCACCAAACTTTTTGAAACAGAGGTACTGCGAAGGGCTACCAACTTTCATGCATCCTTCTGAAATTTGAAAAAAAATTGCTAGAATTACCTGGAATGGTTATTATTACTAATGAAGCAAAGACACTTTCATGTTGAGGTGGGAAACATAAATGCATACTTTTTTTTCTGTAAATCTGCAATTTCCACTGATCACTTATACATTCCTAGGAAATCACAATGTCCCATTGGTAACTAGTGCACAGTTTTGCTTCACGAGTAGTAATGAAGTAATCCTACGAGTGAGGACAAAGCTTTTATAAATTTGAGCACTACAATCGCCCAACTGTGTTGTACTCAATTTTTTTTTGGGGGGGGGGGGGTTGCCACTACTGCTGGTTTCTGGTGTCGACATTTCATGACGGACACTAGTAGGACAACTGAAATGTTACTTGTAAGGCAAAATTACTAGTAACTAGTTGGCAGTTGGTTGCTACGAGAAGGGTCTAGCAAGCTACAAGTGTGTGACAACAGCAGTTTACGATAAATTTGAAGGTTTGCATGCCGGAAGGCCAATAGTAGTGGAGAAAAAAAAGATTACTAGTCAGGCAGGAGTTGTACTGGTGTGCTGAATTGCCTTACAAGTGAGGTTAAAGAGTTTACTAGGACATAGACTTTAAATTGGATATCAACGACATGGAATAAATGTTCAGTCATCTTCCCGTAGACACTCTAGTTGTGTACAGGTTTCTACTTTATGCTGCCCCCTAGTGGACTCTTGCTTTTCTTCTTCTTTTCCCTTTTTTTTTTTTTTTTTTTTTTACTGGTCTTCGAGAAATGGCTTTTTTTTGTTGTTGTTGTTTTGCCCACCCCACATTTTTCAAATGTAAAATTTTGATACAGTCTTGGACTCCGTATATTGTCCCAGTTATTCCAAGTTAATCGGCGCCGTTATAAACTTAGCAGCAGCAGTCTTGTAAATTTCTCTCCTTCTGTGAACATTACACGTCTGTCCTATGTTGTCTTTTATTTGCTTCTATTTTTTTTTTCAAAATTGAGGAAAGATTGATTGTTAATATAATTTTACAATAACTTAACTTCTAGTGTCTGTTTTTATATATTTTTTTGTATTATATTTTCAATTTTTTTCCACTCACTGGGAACATATGGACGTCGCGGACACTTGCTATTTATTAGACAGTTAACAGACATTATCATTCAACTGAGGCATGGAATAAAATGTGGCTTTAATACAAATCAATAGCATGATCTGTCTCCAGTTTTCATCGTGGTGTCTACCTCCCCACTTTTTTTTCAATTGTAATATGAAAAGAGCGTGAATTAACTCCAGTCACGAGACATTTATGAATAGAAAATTCTGAAATGCAATTCATGAAAAATCAAATGTCCACCTCGATGCCTTTCTGTGAGTACTCTGAACTCAACTGCTTTCACAACAGCCCCGGCTGGAACAAAGCGGCTTTACAGAACACAACATCACAGGTTGCTACAGAGACTGGACGATTCACAGAAAGATGTAAAAGAAGGCACCCGTGTTAATGTATTCATTCATTCTGAAATTTCACCACAAAGTACAACGTCCCAAACTTTTTTTGAGGACTCACCAGGGACCCACCATATCACGGTAAATTTTTGTCTTGCAACAATTACATTTTTTAACACTCGTAAAATATTTTGTCAAATATAATACTCTTGCCATCCTTCAAAGTAAGATACTTTTTGCATATTGTATTTACTTTTAAAAAAAGTCAGAACATCAAATAAAAATCTGACCATTTTTTACTGCGCCATTTACAGACCGATGTTTCAAAACTGTTCCAAAAGATTTAAATGCAAAAAATATTGAACTTAAAAGTTAAATACAACTGAACTCGACTTAAGCAGTATTTTATTTGTGCCACCACTAGAGGGAGCCTGCATACCATACTTGGAGAACCACAAGCCTACAACTCTGTTCAGGTTACCTAAGACGTTGAACTTGCTGGCTGATGAAGACAAAAACAGAGAACATGTTCTGGCTCGGTGCGGGTCCAACAACGGTGGCGAAGCGGGCCGAGCGGCTGGCCCGCCTCAGCAGGAAGTGACCTGGCTGGGCGGCAGCCAAACTTCCTGTGTAACAAGAGCCCTCTGAATGTATGCGTCTGCATCACAAACGGACCTCTGTTCGCTACCTCATCCTAATTATACCCTCAGTAATAATAGCCCCCCCCCCCACCGTTTTCTGTCCCAGCACAGAGCATCCTTTGTGGCTCCCACCATGACTTCCACTCGTGTTGTGGCAAATTGGCAAAATCAACGCTTGATATTTGGGGTGAACACAAAACGAAGCCACAACACAGCGTGGGTGGGACCGCAACAAAACACAAAAGATGTCTTCCGGCGTCTGCACGAATTACACGATGTTTTGTTTGTTCTCAAACAGGCAAGTTGGAGGCTATCCCAACTGATTTTTGGGTGAGAGGCGCAGTACACCCCAGACTGGTCGCCAGCCAGTTGCAGGGCACATCAAGTGGCGAATGTTCCATACTCCAGGTCTAACACTAGCAAACAGAAGCAGCGATGTGGAATTAGCAACATTTCTGCTTGACGGGTACATAATTTTTCCGTTTTTTTTTTTTTAACCAAGCCCCCCCCCCCCCCAAAAAAAATTTGGAGATACTTTTCAATAGATGCTTTTCATTGGACACGCAGGATAATAAACTGTAAAGGAGATGTGCGACTCGGATTGCATCACATTCTTCAAACTGCATGACCCATATGGTACACAGATCAGATTGTTTCCAGACAGTAAACAAAGACCGAAGAACGCCACGTCGCTCGGTTCTGTACTGTCAATACAGGAAACACTACTGTTGGAGAAAAAAAAAAAGTGGGACTTTCCACAGGATACAACCGAAGCAATCATTAGCCTTGGGCACAGGTGGTGAAAGTACTCACAGTCTCTACTTAACCTTTACTGACTATTTATTTTCCATGTACATGAACCATGTTCCAAATCCATTTGGAGCTAGGCCAAGAATAGAGCCATAATAATAAGAGTAGACAAATTCATTCAAACAAGACCTTGAGGTTAATTTAGAGTAAAAAAAAAAAAAAATGAA